CATCCTGTGACTTAGAGTGCCTTAACCATCTGGAAATGTAGCCCAGTAAGTTTCAGCCTCATTTTGCTCAACTCCTATTTAAGATGGAGTTGCTCTGCTTCACACACCTCTGATATTTCCCCCATTCCTTTTATAAGAGAACTCTTATTCCTAAGAGTTGCGGAGGGATAAAGATCCATCTTCTATAACTTCTTTAGGCTGAATAGGGGCAATGATATCCCTGCCTAACTATGAAGGTCCCTTGCATTCAGGGTAGAAAGGAGGTCAGTCAGAAAGCATCAATATGGTAAGGTCCATTCATAACTCTTGAGTTTTGACAAAAGGTGATATCTGGAAGATTAATAAGTGTTTAAGAAAACATTTAGTAAGCTTGTCCTGTATTCCTACACAAAGAGTATAACAGCAATATATTCCATAAGAGTAAAGTAAAATAAGTAAAGTTATTCCAAGTAAACTAAATTAGAAAGCTTTTCATGAACTGGGCAGCTGTTGGAATTAAACTGATGTGGGGTTGTACTGAATATAATGTGCACAGAATTAGAATACTGATCCAGATTATTACATTGCCCATCCCTCCTCTTGTTTCTTCTGAGCAGCAGTCAGAGATCATTGGTTGGTTCACAGGACTAAGCAGGATTAGCCTAAATTGCAGAAACAAACTTAAAAACGACTAATGAGACTAGAATTTAATAACGAGTGTACCATAGTTCTTTTTTTTTTTTTTTTTTTTGAGACAGAGTTTCGCTCTTGTTACCCAGGCTGGAGTGCAATGGCGCGATCTCGGCTCACTGCAACCTCCGCCTCCTGGGTTCAGGCAATTCTCCTGCCTCAGCCTCCTGAGTAGCTGGGATTACAGGCACGCACCACCATGCCCAGCTAATTTTTTGTAGTTTTTAGTAGAGACGGGGTTTCACCATGTTGACCAGGATGGTCTCGATCTCTTGACCTCGTGATCCACCCGCCTCGGCCTCCCAAAGTGCTGGGATTACAGGCGTGAGCCACTGCGCCCGGCCTGTACCATAGTTCTTGAAACATAATATTTCTCTCTCCAGTTTCCCATTTTTACTAAAGACAAATCATGGTAAGATTGATTTCCTTTATTATACTTGGCCTGATTATTTGTATAAAGCACAGCAAGAATAATTATTTTTCACACATGCTCTTTTTAAATTGGCTTTAATGGAATTCTGCTCCATAGAAGAAATCTTAGATAAGACTTTATAAAGCCATGGTTGGCCACGGGTTTTTACCCTCAAATACCTATGAATTTAGCAAATTCCTGACCTCTTGGGGTCCCAGGATAACTTGGGACTTCTGGATCTGTCAGAAAGTGACATTCTTTACTGACCACAGGTTGGAGATCCTGTACAGGGACTGTTGCAGACAAGATCTGAGGCCAGTTCTCCAAGAAGCTTTTATTGGCTTTATAAGTCAAGTTTGATTCCTTAAAAGAAAGCATACCATTGCAGTTAAAGCCTTGGTAAAACAAGTAATTTCTAAATAATGTCCTGTTACAAAAGAAAGCAGATTCTTATTATACTTATGCAAATAACTATATTACCATAAATTAAGAATACTCACAAATAGTTTTCAAATTTTGGAAAAGTCAGGTAGCGAGAAACAAATAAGCTCTAAATTTTGTTCACTCGACTATATTTTACTCAATTGCTAAAAGCTGTAAATAGCTCAAAAACAAAGTTTCCTTGACTCTGATATTCATGAACATTCCAACTTTTCATGAGAGTTCTGAAAGTTGTTTCCTCTATTCTGATGTTACCACTTCCAAAGGTAAACCTGCATTTAGGAATACCTGCTAGAGTGCTACAGTTGATTATAAACCACCTTCTAAAGAGGATTAGAACAAGAAAACAATTGTGGATGATAAAAAGTTTTAGGACAGCCACTATTAAAGCCACAATTGGCCAGGCACAGTGGCTCATACCTGTAATCCCAGAACTTTGGGAGGCTGAGGAGGCTGGATCATGAGGTCAGGAGATCGAGACCATCCTGGCTAACACAGTGAAATGCTATCTCTACTAAAAATACAAAAAATTAGCCGGGTGTGGTGGCATGCACTTGTAGTCCCAGCTACTCAGGAGGCTGAGGCAGGAGAATACCTTAAACCCAGGAGGTGGAGGTTGCAGTGAGCCTAGATTGCACCACTGCACTCTAGCCTGGGTAACAGAGCAAGACTTTGTCTCAAAAAACTTCTGTGACACACAAAATTTTACATAACAATTATAATTGTTAATAACATATGCTTTCTAGCCTATAGGGCTCCTAAAAAAAAAAAAAAAGAATAACATATGCTAAGTCATATTAGAATTAAAGGAGTTTCCCATCACTTTGGAACAAATTACATTTAAGCAAGTATAGTCCAGAGAGAGCAAAACACCATTTCACATTTGGTAATGCTTCCTGTAAGATTTTTATACCAAATAAGCCAAATTTTACCTTTACATTAGTGTACTATTAATGTTAAACCCAATTTTTAATAAAACCTTATAGACATATTTACCCAATTTTATTGTTTAACCATAAGGTAAGAGTCTTATAAACCTTGTATAACCCTTTACATTTTGTGTGTGTGTGTTTGTGTGTATGTGTGTGTGAAAAAGCAGATCAGTACTCTAAGAAAAACCTGTACTTTTATCACGATGTTTAATTTATGGAAAAACTGAATAATACCCCTTTAACTTTAGCCAATATGTTCACACATGGAATCTCTTACAATTAATTTTTATAAACCTTCCACGACTTGTGAAACCTTTAGATTTTTTTTTTTTACTTAAAACAATCCATTAACACTTAATTGTAGGTAGAAAAAAATCCACATTCCCATGACTTCTTATAATCTTTCACCAAAAACACATTTTACTTTCTTTATATACCTTGCATGTAAAATTGTTTCTTTAGTAGTTTTAATTACATGTTATAATGTTAACTCTTAGCAACTTTTATTTTTGGTGAAAACCTTGGTAAGATTTTTTTTGTTTGTTTGTTTTTGGTGAGCTGGAGTCTCACTCTGCCACCCAGGCTAGAGTGCAGTGGCGTGATCTTGGCTCACTGCAACCTCCACCTCCCGGGTTCAAGCAATTCTCCTGCCTCAGCCTTCTAAGTAGCTGGGACGACAGGCATGTGCCACCATGCCTGGCTAAGTTTTGTATTTTTAGTAGAGACAGCGTTTCACCGTGTTAGCCAGGATGGTCTCAATCTCCTGACCTCATGATCCTCCTGTCTCGGCCTCCCAAAGTGCTGGGATTACAGGTGTGAGCCATCATGCCCAGCTGGTAAGAGATTTTAATTGTGTACTAGGTGTGGAGCCTAGCCTAGGACACACCAGGCAACACTGCAGATGAGGACTGACTCTCCAGCATAGCTAGGGGCATGGCTAACTCCACATGTCCACAGGCCTCACCCTTAAGCAGACAAGTTGTACAGTAAGAATCACAGTGGCATTTTATGAAGCATTTAGGAGGCCTATCAATCTGTGAACTATACAACATTTCTTTCATAAAATCCCTTTCACTACTCCTTTCACGACTTAACACAGACCATCTGAGACAATATGCACATCTAGTCCTACTCTCTGGATCCCAGCAGTTTCTAAGTTTCAAGAAGGAATAAATTTTATGTTTTTCTTTTTTTCCAAGTGACTGACTAAGCATATGTATGAATGCATGGGGGATGCTCTGTAAATATTTGTGAAAGAAATGGAGAGAGGAAGGGAAAACAGGAAGGAGAGACCAAAAGAAGGGAAGGGGAAGGTGGAGAAGAGAAGAGAACTGGAGGGAAAGGAAGGTGAAGGGTAAGGTAAGGGACGGAATCTGAGGGAAGGTTTGGGAGAGAAGAAGCACTGACAAGCTGCTGATCATTCAATCGGGTTACTTCCAGAGCAGTCTGCTTCCCTGAGGAAGCAGTTATTATGTAGTAATTAAGTGTTATGTAGCAATTAAGGGCTTGGAGCTGTAAATTGGGCGAGACCTGCATTTAAGTCCCACTTAGGGCAAAGACCTTCCACCGGTAAAAATAGTGCCACCCGGCTGGGCCTGGTAGCTCACGCCTGTAATCCCAGCACTCTGGGAGGCCAAGGCGGACGGATCACTTGAGGTCAGGAATTTGAGACCAGCCTGGTCAACATGGTGAAACCTCATCTTTACTAAAGTACAAAAAAATTAGCTGGGTGTGTACAAAAAATTAGCTGGGCATAGTGGCGCACGCCTGTAATCCCAGCTACTTGGGAGGCTGAGGCAGGAGAATCACTTGAACCCTGGGGGTGGAGGTTGCAGTGAGCTGAGATCCAGTCACTGCACTCCAGCCTGGGCGACAGAGTGAGACCCTGTCTCAAAAGTAAATAAATAAAATAACATAAATAAAGTCCCATTCAGCTTTGTAGCCTTGGACAAATTATGTGCTTCTCTTCCTCACTTATCTGTAAATGGGGCTGATGGGAGATGTGAAGACATTGCAACAATATTTGGCGCAGTCAGCACTCAAAATGAATGTCTGTTTAGAAATGTATTTTTTAAAAATTATTATTTATTTAGAGACAGGTCTCTCTCTGTCACCCAGGCTGGAGTGCTGCAGCGGCAACCCAGCTCACTGCAGCCTGGAACGCTTGATTCTAGCGATCCTCCCACCTCAGTCTCCCAAGTAGCTGGGACTACAGGCACGTGCCGCCATGCCCAGCTGATTTTTAAAATTTTTGTAGAGATGCAGGGAGGGGGAAAGGTCTCACTATATTGTCCAGGCTGGTCTTCAACTCCCAGCCTCAAGCGATCCTTCCCCGCTGGCCTCTGAAAGCACGGAGATTGCAGGCATGAACCTTACTTGCAATTATTGGCCCGGACCTGGGCCGTTCCAGCCCACACTCGGAAGGGCCCGCCTCTCTCTTGGCTTGCCGCTCACCCATTGGTCGAGAGCGGCGACCGTTCCACCAATCTGCTCGGCCCTGGAGGGAGAAGGCCAAAGGGCAGAGCCAATGGTCGCGGGGCTTACGGTCTCCGGGATACTGGTGTACACAGCGGCAGCGTTGCGGCCCACAGCCAGGCGGCTGAGGAACCGTCACCGACCCGCCTCAGGGTGTTGCGTGCGCTGCCCGCTCCCGCCTGAGGAAAACTGGGCCCATGGCGCAAGGCCGGGAGCGCGACGAAGGCCCCCACTCCGCCGGCGGCTCGTCCCTATCCGTGAGGTGCGGCCTCAACGACCCCGCGACCGATCTCGGTCTCGCGGAACCTCCTGCCCGACGTCCCTTCCTCCCTTCTCTCCTTCGCGTTCCTTAGGGCGGCTCTCCACGCAGCTTCGCCCCCTTCCTCTCCGCCCCCCAGTGCCTTCCCGCAGCCTCCCTCCCCGTGTGACCTCCTCCGTGCGCTCTCATCCCCTTGTTCCGTGACCCCGTCCCCCAGTTGTCTTTCCCACTCCTTATTCTGCGACCCTGACCCTCGCTCGCTTACCCAGCAACGCCCCCTGCACCCTTCACTGGCTCAGGATTCCCGCCAGTGATCCGGGTCCCCTGATCACATCCCCCTCCCCCTCCACCCGGGGACAGCCCCGATCCCGTCCTTGCTGTTTGGTGATTTTCCCCAAAGTTTGGATCTTGAATCCCTTCTAACTCCCATCCACTAGCTTTGGATGTATTTGCATTTATAGTGGCCTTTGAAAAGCATCAAGCACTGCGCGAATATGGGTGGTATTTTTTTTTCCTGCATTCTAGCGTGTTCCCCCCCACTTCCAGCCCCCACCCCGACTCTATACAGCACCCCCTGCTAGTCCTGGGCACTCTAATGTCTCGAGGTTTCTCACCAAACCAGTGTCCTTCACTTGCCTTTTCTACCGCCTTCAAGCAAATCTTTAATATTTAAATAAAAATAGAATCTCCTTCATCTCTCCTTCCTTCTAGCATACACCTAGCACACACTCCTTACCTAAGGGTTCCTTTTGTGTGCTATCGTTTCATTGACGTCGACTTCATTCCTTTTATTTTCTACATTCATCTCTATTTTTAGATCTGAAATATGGCCACATACTCTTCATCTGTGTAAATAAGCAATTTTCCTACTCGGCTTACACACAAAGCAGGCTGTCCTATCAAAGTTGTTTTTTAAGTTTATTTAAAAAATCTAATGATAAAAGAATGGCTATTCTTTTATAATTCTCATTGAGTAGATCTGGTGTGGGAACGAGATCAAGCTCTTTTCTCTGTTACTTTCACGTTTTGTCTTCCAAGTGTACAAGACCTCAGAAGTCCTTCTGAGACTTTCTCAGGTTTGGTCAGAGTTTTGTTTGCTGAAAAAGTTATCTGAAGAAGGCCTGGGAGACCTATGGAACTTTAGGTCTACATTTAAATTTCTATAGTTCATTGACTTAAACGGATCTCACAGCCAGCATATGTGTTCTTTTATCTTAGAAATTGTTTGGGGGCAGAAAAGTTATGAAAATAGCAATGTTTCAAAGATTTTGATGACCCTTTGCTTTGTTTAAAAAAAAAATATTTGAAATGTATTATATTGATGTTGACATGTCTTTTCCCAAAGATGGGTGCAAGGATTCCCTAAGCAGAATGTTCATTTTGTCAACGACAACACCATTTGCTACCCTTGTGGGAATTTTGTAATATTTATTAACATTGAAACAAAGAAAAAGACTGTACTCCAGTGTAGTAATGGAATTGTGGGCGTCGTGGCAACTAACATCCCCTATGAAGTTGTGGCTTTTTCTGACCGGAAGCTAAAACCCCTCATCTACATATACAGCTTTCCTGGATTGACCAGAAGGACCAAATTGAAAGGTATTCTGGAGAACCCTTCCTCGGCCTGTAATTGAAGGATTTTAAGATTTGACCAAATCTAATTATTATAAGTAAAGGTTGAAAGGTTTTTTTTTTTTTAATATATATTTTTAAAGAAGGAATCAAGCTGATCACTGAGGATTTAATTAAGTTGGCTAGAAACTTGCTGTTCAAAGTGTGGTCTGTTTACTAGCAACATTGGTGCTACCTGGGAAGCTTGTTATAAATGCAGAAACTTGGCTCCCAAAGCCAGATCTATTCAATCAGAATCTGCATTTTAACAAAATTCCCCAGGTGATTCATATGCACATTAAACTATGAGAAGCACTGGGCTAGAAGACTCTATTACCTTTTTCAGAACAATGATTTTTTTTTTTTCCTAATATGTGTTGAAAATCCTGGTGAATTGATGTTAGTGTAATTTCTAAAGATGAGTGTCTGAGCCTCAATTTCCTCATCCATGAAATAGCGGCAAAGATAGTGTCTAATGTGAAGGCTGCAGTAATGATGATAGATGCAATTATATAATATACTGTATATGTATGTATGCCAAGTGCCCAATCAATGTTGCCTACCATTTGAATTACTACATTTTATTTTATTGAAACAGAGTTTGGCTCCATCACCCAGTCTGGAGTGCAGTGGCGTGATCCTGGCCCACTGCAGCCTCTGCCTCCTGAGTTCAAGTGCTTCTCCTGACTCAGCCTCCCAATTAGCTGGGATTACAGGCATGCACCACCATGCTCGGCTATTTTTTTAATATTTTTGGTAGAGAATGATGGGGTTTTATCATGTTGGCCAGGCTGGTCTGGAACTCCTGGCCTCAAGTGATCCACCCACCTCCGCCTCCCAAAGTGCTGGGATTACAGGTGTGAGCCACTGTGCCTGACCTACTGACGCATTCTTAGATACAGCTGACCCACACTGAGCTACTGCACCTCTGCTGGAGCCTCTACCTAATGATTCCCTCATTTATCACCCCATGGGCAGAAAGCTCATGCTTGAGGCTAGACTTAGCTCTGTAGTCTTAAGGGTCAATTAAGTGTTTGGGTGAAGTCAGGGAACTTCAGTATAATTTACAATACTTTGTTTGTGGGGAAATTTGCGTTCTCAACAGATTAAGACAACTTTTAAGACATAACCCGGCTGGGCACAGTGGCTCATGCCTGTAATCCCAACACTTTGGGAGGCCGAGGCGGGCAGATCAAGAGATAAAGACCATCCTGGCCAACATGGTGAAACCCCATCTCTACTAAAAATACAAAAATTAGCTGAGCATAGTGGTGCATGCCTGTAGTCCCAGCTACTCAGGAGGCTGAGACAGGAGAATCACTTGAACCCAGGAAGCACAGGTTGCAGTGAGCCAAGATTGCACCACTGCACTCCAGCCTGGTGATAGAGCAAGACTCCGTCTCAAAAAACAAAATAAAAAACAACAAAAAAAGATAACCCATTCACAAGTTGGGGACTATCTAGGTGGACTATAACTTTTTCTTTAAGTTTCCTCAGCTTGGTTATTTGGCTGTAGTTCTGTTTGAGCCAATTGAAAGTTAGTTCAAACCATTAGCTAAGAGTCATACTGAATAATGAAGCCCTAAAGGAATTCACAGTAATATTAGAAATAAGTCATCAGACCTGTTATTATCACTATTATTTAATATCAATCTGGAAGTTCTAGCCAATGGCAACAAAATATAAAACTGAAAAAAAAAATAGCTATGAGAAAGGAGATGATGGATGACGGAATAATCTACTAACAAAAGAATGCTCAGTAAGATGCTGGTGTTGAGGTAAATATGCATGCAGTTTGAAGATATACATACTTAGAAATAATTCAGAAAAATAAGTGTGAGTGACCTAGGTGAAGAAAACTACAAAAATCATTGATTTAAAATATTTAAATATACAGAAATATATGCCTGGATGGAAAGCCTGATAATTATAAATATATTTCTGAGATTTGTCACAGAAAGTAATTTATCCTGTAGGTTTATCATATGTTTTAGACAGCAAGGAGTACTCAAATGATTCGAAAATTCATCTGGGAAAATAAAACAGAGAATGAGAATAATTTGAAAGAGAATGATGGCAAGGCAGAGGGTCATTTTAATACTATGGCGCCATAGTAATTAGGAGTATGGCACTGGTGCCGGGATCACCAGATTGGTGGGAGAGTTGAAAACTTGGGACAGAATCTAAAGTGTTTAAGAGCTGAGTAAATGATGAAAGACGCCCCGCCAAAAAGGAGGAAGAGGAGGAGGAGGAAGAACAGGAGGGAGGAAGAAGGAAGAAGAAAAAGAAGAAAAAATGTGGATTATTCAACAGTGGTGTTAAGAAAACTGAATATTTGAACAAAAGTATCAAGTTAGATACTCATGATCTATATCAGATGAAAATAAGCGTTCAGTATAAATAATAGAAATAAATCCATTTGAAAATAGTAGAAAATATGATAGAATAGAGGAGTGATTACAGGAAGGGGTAGAACTTTTCATACGAAACAAAAACTTAGAAAAGACAGACACATTTGATTGCATATATATTTAAAACTGATTAACATTAAAAACACCATGAAAAATTAAAAGGGAAATAATAAACTGAAGAAAATATTTGGAACAAATATGATCAAATATCTTCTGAGCATTAATGAAATAATAAAAACAAGACAAACAGAACAATGGAAAAGAAATTAACCCAGACAAATCACTAAACTACAGATGACCAAAGACATCAAATCTATCTCAACATTTGTTTTTAAAAAGTGTGATTTAAACCAAGATACTATTTTTTTGCCAATCAAGGTCACAATTTCTTTTAAGATCATAATTGCTAGGTAGAGTGCAGTGAAATTGGTAGCACTTCTATCTGCTGAAGGTGGGACTATAAGTTGATAGTGTCTTCCTGTGAAGTAAATATTTACTCAATTTGACCTAGTATACTCACTTCAAGAAGAATTCAATTTTTAGGAAATCGTTAGAAATATGGTCAAAGATTTACATGCAAAGGAGTTTAAAAAGCACTATCATAATAGCAAAAGACTGGAGCAACCTAGATCTCCAGTATTATGGATATAGTTAAAAAAATTAAAACATACTATAAAGGGGTATTATGTAAACATTTTTAAAGAGGTGTTAAGATAATGATAAATGCTCAATGTAATGTAAATAAAAATAGGAGGGAACACTATGTATGATGTAATTCCATTTAAAAGTGGATTATCATAATTTTTTTTTTTGAGACGGAGTCTCTATCTCTCAGGCTGGAGTGCAGTGGCACAATCTCAGCTCACTACACCTTCCACCTCCCAGGTGCAAGGGACTGGCCTCAGCCTCCCGAGTAGCTGGGATTACAGGTGCCTATCACCACGCCTGGCTAATTTTTTTTTTTTTTAGACAGAGTCTTGCTCTGTCACCCAGGCTGGAGTGCAGTGGCGCGATCTCGGCTCACTGCAACCTCTGCCTCCTAGGCTCAAGCAATTCTCCTGCCTCTGCCTGCTGAGTAGCTGGGATTACAGGCGTGTGTAACCACGCCCAGCTAATTTTTGTATTTTTAGTAGAGGTGGGATTTCGCCATGTTGGCCAGGCTGCTCTCAAACTTCTGACCTCAGGTGATCCACCCACCTCGGCCTCCCAAAGTGCTGGGATTACAGGCATGAGCCACCGCACTCAGCCTCATATGTAATATTTAATCTATGGCTAGTATAGCTATAAAAAGCAGAGTTACATTTAAAGAAAATATATATGTATTTTTTTCAAGTAAACACAGAAGAAAATACTAGAAAGAAATTTACCAAGTTCGGTGGTAGGATTATAGAGGATATATTTTTTTCTCTTTTTTTTTTTTGCATTTTCTTCAAACACCAATTTTTTTAAGATTTAAAGAATATCTAAAATGGGTCATCTTCCATTG